GAGACAGCCCCTACCCTGCCACCGCACACTCTGGGGAAGGGCAAGCTGTGGGGTGCTGCGTGGCACCGCAGGGGTACCCTGTGTGGGCAGGAGGGATGCTGGCACCCATCTTTGCAAGATCTGGGCTGCTCTGCCCCAGACCTGCTCCCCACACTCATGTCTGAGTTGGGGTCACTGCCACCCCCCTGCACTGGGTACAGTGCCACCGCGCCCAGCCAACCCCAGGAGTCATCTCAGGGAGCCAGGGAGCAGAGAAACTGTGGCAGTCCGGGGTACATCACATGGAGAGATGGGGCATCGCAAGTGCCCCTGCAACTTGGGGGTCACCGGACATCCCCTAGAGCCAAGGGAAGAGGCATGGGAAGCATCCCCTGTGCCAGCCTGGGAGGGCGAGGGGCTGGTGACATGGGACATGTGAGGGCAGCACCGCTGGCACCCCAGGCTCCATGGCAGGCAGCGGGGTGGCTGGGGGCTGATGGCAGGCACCTGCCTGGGGTAATGCATGGGGCTCTGCCAGCAGCCGAGTGACCCGCATGACCAGCAGCGAAGCCATGGACACCCTGGGGCAGTACAAGATCACAGTGTGGGAGGAGGAGAGCTTCCAGGGCAAGCGCTGCGAGTTCCTCATGGAGTGTCCCAGCATCATGGAGCGTGGCTTCCGCAAGATCCGCTCCATCAAAGTGGAGTCTGGCCCGTAAGTGCCCCGCCAGCCCCGCGGCCCCTTGGCGCACCCCAGACCCACTGCTCCCAGGGAACTGTCGGGAGCTGCCAGAGAGCCAGGACACCCCGGTCCTTCCTCGGCTCCAACACAGCTGCATTGTGTGATGTGACCTCCCTCCCTGTGCTCCTTGCGTGGTGGTGCCTCAGTTTCCCCATCTGCGAAGCAGGGAGACCCTGCCGAGCTGAGGCACGGGTCGGAGGCAACAGTGTGGCCCTGGGGAGAGGGGTCCCACTATCAAAAGGGATGTTTGCTGCTAGCAAGGACCCTGACCTCCATGACAGACCCGCACCCTGCCAGGACATCTCCGTCCCTAGCGCAGGAGGGAGAAGCTGGCCCTGGGCTGAGCCTGGGGGCTGCGCCGTGCATCCCTGAGGGCTTTCCTCCTCTCCCCTCCAGCTGGGTGGGCTTCGAGTACCCCGAGTACCAGGGGCAGCAGTTTATTCTGGAGAAGGGTGACTATCCCCGATGGGAGGCCTGGAGCGGGAACAGCGGCTACAGGACCGAGCACCTCCTCTCCTTCCGACCCGTCAAGTGCGCGGTGAGTTACAGGGACACCACCACAGTGCACCCCAACAGTCCAGCATGGGGGGAGATGAGGGACAAACAGAAAGATGGAATAGGTGGCATGTGGGATGGAGGGGTGAGGCGCACATGGAAGTGCCATAGGGTGGAGGGATGGCTGCACCAACTGGGTCCTGCCTCCCTGCGAGGGTCCTGGGATGCTCTTTAGAGCTAAAATTCAGCAAGAAACATGATCCCAGCTCCTTCTGCTTTGTACATTGGAGAGCCACCTCCCAGACTGGGGTCCACAGGCATTGTCCCCCCACCCTGGACAACCGGAGATGGGGTGAGCAGGGGGGAGCTGGCAGAACCACAGGGATGCTTGGGGTGCAGGGTCCATCCCCCTCCCGCCTGGGGTACCCGAGCCATGCCCAGGCAGATGCAGCCTCTATCGCTCCATCTGCAGAGACACTGGCGCTCGCAATAGCGGCACGTCTGCGCCTCCGAGCGGGGGGTCCCCCCCCCAACTTTTAATAATCACCAGGCAGATATGCTTGGGCTTTAATAAAGGGGATGCGATAAGATCACTCCTTGCTGGCAGGACGGCTCCTCGGTGCAGATAGATGCGTGTGGGGGCTGGGCACGGGGGACAGTGCCGCATCGCTCAGTGTCCCAGCGATTAACCCCTCGGTGCCCAGCACCCAGCAAAGCCCCACAGAGCAGGGGGGACCACTCTCAGCAGGCTGCCTTGCCCTGAAACTCCTGCAGCCGTGGGGACTGCGAGGATGCTGAGGGCAGGAGCCCGTGTGGGTGCAGAGGATGTGGCCACTGCCACCCTCACTGGCAGCTGTGCATTGGGACCAGAGGAACACGAGAACAGCATCCTCTGGGCAGCCCTGGGGTCTCCTGGTGAGGGATGGCAGGCTGAAGGACATCCCCATGCCTTGCACTAAAGCTAAGCATGGTCCCAGTCCTCCCACCGTGCCTTGCTGCGTCTCCCTCTGATGCCACATCCCCTATTTCTGGCCAAGCCACCCCATCCTCGCTGACCCCAGCTCTCTCCCTTCACAGAACCACAACGACAGCAAAGTCATCCTCTACGAGGCTGAGAACTTCCAGGGGCACAAGTTTGAGCTGAGCGACGATTACCCCTCGCTGCAGGCCATGGGCTGGGGCAATAAGGAGGTGGCATCCATCAAAGTGAACGCCGGAGCGTGAGTCCTGATGGCAGGGAGGGGGTGGTGGGAGCCGAGAGCAGGGCTTCAGCAAGCACATCCCTCCTGCATAGTCCCAGAGATGGGGAAAGGGGACCCCGAAAAGGAGGGGTGTCTGCCTGCTCCCCTTCCATCAATAATTCAAGCTGTGGGATGTTTTCTGTCCCTCCCCTCCCAGGGCAAACAGAAGGGTGGGATGGGATGGGATGGGATGGGATGGGATGGGATGGGATGGGATGGGATGGGATGGGATGGGGAAATTTGGCCCAGATCTCTGAGCCAGGGGTCTGCTTGCAGGTGGGTGGCGTACCAGTATCCGGGATACAGGGGCTACCAGTACGTGCTGGAGCGGGACAGACAGAATGGCGAGTTCAAGAAGTACAACGAATACAGCAGCCAGGCCCACACCAACCAGATCCAATCCATCCGCCGCGTCCAGCACTGAGCAGGGGCAGGGCCACATGCCCCACAGCCTCTGGGCTGCTGTGCAATAGACCTCTATCTGGTAGCAAATAAAGGCATTTGTCAAAAAAAAAAAGGGTGCTCCTGCCTCTGCTCTGCTCCTCAGGGGGCTGCTAGGCCCGAGGGACCCCCTGTGGGGTGGGAAGCAGGGTGTCTGCCCCAACCCTGCTGCCCCCCAGCTCTCAGCAGCTGGAAGAGGATTTCCCTTCCCCAGATGGTTTTGGATCCACAGTCACCAGCACCCTGGGCTGAGCTCTCTGCATCTCATCTCTGGTCCATGCACAGCAAGTAGAGAGGATGAAGAATGTTTCCCACCCCCATGATGCTCTGGCTGGGGAAATGGGAATTTATTGGGAATTTACTGGCCTGGGGGAGAGGAGGGCTGGAACCAGGAAGGGGCATCCAGAGTGTCCTGGGTCCTCCTCCCAGGCTCAGTGCCAGAGAAGTTGATTGCTACAAAGCCTGTGAACATGAGATCCCCTCTCTCTGCACCCCAGTTTGGAAGAGAGAGGGGGGGTCCCTGCCTGCTGTGGGCCTGGGGAGGAGAACTAT